TGGCCACTCCGGCAGACGCTGCCCCGGGTGCCCTGGCACCACAGCCGGGCTGGGCTGAAGGGATTGCTGCTGCTGCCAGCCTCTGCTCCATGCCCTGCTGTGGCTTTCTCTCTCTCTCTGCTTTCTGGTACATTCATCCTTTTTCCCCTACAGTGCAGAGAAGAACAACAGAACACCAAGCACTAAATCCCGCTTTACAGGGATTTGCCCAGTAAGGGATGAATCTGCAGGGATGCAATTTTTGTTTCTTAAGATAAGAAGAAATGAGCGTGTCCAAATAGCAATAGACCCGAGCACCAGCCTAACAGGCCTTTGAGAGCTGCTTTGAGCACTTCCCAGCTGTTCTTCACACAGGTCTGACTACAGAAAATGTCAGGCTTCAGTTACCTAATTAAACGCAGATGCAAATGACAGCACTGCTTGCAAGGATACATCACCTTTTAGTGTTCCCAGGTGCTTCTGGCCACCAGTGAGTGCTGCAGCCCAGAGCAGGGCCCGTAGCTCAGCTGGCGAAGCAAACCAGGTTATAAATACTGCTGCTCCGAAAGCACCAGCTCCAGATGTGGAGGGGGTGGTTGTGCTGCAGGAGGGGGAGCATGGTGGGGGTAAGTCTTCAATAGACTGCTGCAAATGCACCTCTGCTGTATGGCATTAAGGAGCAATTGGTTTGGGTATTTGCTGCTTCTCTGTGTGATTCTGTAGTGATTTGGGGCTGGCAGGTTGCGTTTACTTCTCTAACAGCTCCTGCTTGTGGAGCAGTGCTCCTGGTAGAAGGAGGTCTGGAGAGTGGGATTTGGGCTGCTCGTCAGCCCGGCGAAGAAGAGCATGGTGGGAAGGCACAGTGTGGTTGGAGTCCTTGTGGTAGAGTTACTCCATGCTGGCATATTGGTTTCTGGGTCTGTAGGTATGTGGGAGCTGTATCTAAGCCATGGTATAGACCAGCATTCCTTATGTGCTCGCCTCTGATGCAAGGTGGTGTTCATCCAAGAGCTGCCCATCTCCCTTCCACAGCTCCTCTCCCCAGCTGCAGCCACCGGCTGTGTCTGGAGGCGCTCGCTGGGCAGTGCCGCCTTCGTGCCATGGTTGTTGTTGCTGTTCTGTTCTCTACCCGTTCTTCTGAACTTCGGTTTCAGGCTGAGTTGCTGCTCTCAGGAGGACCCGAGGGAGGTTAGCCTCTGTAGGTAAAACTCAACCCTTGGGAATTTCCCTCTTTGAAGCGCTTTTTCCTGGTTTTTGTTTCTTTGTGACTTCAAGATTTTTATGCTTACTTAGGACTCTTGCCTGCCCATGTAAGAGTCTCCAGGGCTAAGGTGGGTGCTAAGTAAGCTGGCTTTCATCAGGGAGCCTGCACACCACTCCTGGAGGTGCTGGGCGTCCTCCACTCCCACTGACTTCAGCCTCCAGGAATGCGTGGCAGGCCCTGCCTTGCATGTGAGGCGAGGCAGCAAAAGGAGGCCTTCTTAGCTTGTTTCCTAGAAAAATGGAGTTTTATGAACTCATGGTACATGTGAGGCTCTGTGTCTGTCGTGCACCCTCATAACTTGTGGATCCAGTTCAGCGGGGAGTAAAAGCATTTTGAATTTTAAATAGCCAGTGACTTTTGTGAAAACAGGTGGCTGAGCACAAAAGAAAGAAGCCCTGCTAGCCCCTTCACGAAGGGAGGCGAAGCAATGTGACTTCACACCTTATTTCAAACCTAACTAGGTGCTCATGGCTCCCCAACGGAGAGAGGTGTTACATGTGCTCCAAACAAGCGAGGATGTTTGCATCTTAACAGACATCAGAGAATCCAACCATGAGCTAAATCCATACAAAATCAGGTTTTCTTTAGCTGCTACATGCGTAAGTCTGCTAGTTTTTACCACAATACCACTGCCTTAGTTTCTGCTGTGTCTCAGACCCTTAGCCTGTATGGGATGTATTGACAACAGATTTCATTCTCTTTGTAACAAGAAGTTTGGATGCAGGATGAGGTGCTTAAGAAACCCCATGGTGGGAGGTGCTCACCGCGGGCCAGTGGTGAATGATCAGCATCTGATTGCCAAGCGATGCAGTGAACGGACACCTCTGGGGGAGCAGACTACCCCTCCTCAGCAGCACGGAGCAACCCCAGCCCAGCGGAGAGCGGGAATGCAGGGGCTGTACCCACCAGCCCTCCACAGGAGCAGCACGGGTCCCTTGACTCTGGCTGGGAGGGAAATGCCTGC